ACAAAAAATAAAAATATGAACACACTTATTCTACCTAAATTAGGTCACTGGGATACTGACTTCTATACAGACTTTTAGACTTATTTTATGTTTGCATGATTAGATGTGTGTTCAAGGTTTGTGTTTTTTGTTTATTAATTTAATAAATTTCTAATACAGATAATCTTTTGTAGTATTCTTGCCTAACTGAATCCTCTATATTCTCTCTCTATAAATCTAGATCTATCTAGTAGGTCTAGATCTAAGCATTTAACTTCATTCAATGTGCCAATGTCACTCCAAACATTTGCCCATTTATTCTCTAAAAAAAAAAAAAAAAAAAAGAACAAATATAGTATAAGATCATTAACACTGATGTGACTGATGTCCAAAACTGGCTGTCTGAAATAAATTTTGGTAAGAAAATCGTAATTTAATTCGGACACCCTATTATTTATTTTTTTTTGAATGGAATCAAACAACTTGGCTTACGAATCAAATAAATCAGCTCCAAAAACAGAATAAATATTATAGTAGTATATTAGTAGTATAGACTTAGCCAATCAAAAAATATAGTGTTAACCCTAGGAAGAGGTAAAGTCATCCGGGTAACATAGGAAAAAACAACATAAAAAGACAGCTAAATGGAAGGAAATTGGGTCAGAATCATTGGAAAAAGGACAAGCACATTATACACTATATAGATATGTGAAAATCTGTAAGACCGGAAGTAAAAAAAAATGGCATCAAATTTTGAGTTCCGTTTTTCTTACTTTCTGTTCATAGACCCTTGATAGAAATCGATTATGATTTTAAATCCATTGAAATCATTGCTAAAATGGGTGAATATGGATACATTTTATATTGAGGAACATTTTTTTCATGTGGACTTGTTTGCACTGCCCCCTATGGGATTTTTTTTTTTTTTTTGAAAACTAAACTATTTTAAGAATAAAATCATGCATAGGCTAGTAGATATAGCAATTATGTATAGGTCTAAATAGATTTTAAAGAGTTTTTTAACTCGCTTCTATTTTTTTTTTATTTTAAAGCGCATTTTAAAAAAATTGTTTCAGGCGATTTTGATCCCACTTTTTAAATATTTTGTTAATTTCTCCCATCACAATGCCGCCATTTTGTCCACACCCCTAAGACACTTCTTGTAGCTCTAGACCAGATAATTTGTTTATTTTATCAATTTTTACATTCTAAACAAGTGAAGTTCATAATTATAAATGAAATCAGATTTGTGAGCTAGAAATTTACTTATAATACTAGATCTACTATTAAATTTCTTATTTAATAAGTAGATCTATCGTCTATGAAACTCAATTCCAACTTTTTAACTTTTTGAGCGGGGGGGGTGTGTGTCTCACCGGCTGAGCCAGCCAGACGCTCTCATCTTCATTGTTCCATGTCAACCAATGTTAGGTCAAAACGCCACAAAAAAAATCATAACTTTCTAACTGTTTAACTTACATTCATAATTTATACACCATTGGAAAATTCTTTCAAAGTATTTGAATGATGTACTATTGTTTTTTCAAAGATAATTTTTTTTATTTCACATCCCTACACTATACAGTGCGCTAGTTTTATAATAAATATTAAAATAATTATGTAATGACCACAAAAACAGAATGTCCGAATTCATGCAATGTCCAAATTAAATACACAAAGTAGATCTATGTCTATGTACTTAAGTTTAAGACTAACTAGTAACTAGACTAGCCCGCCCTAGATCTATATGTTAAAAATATGTATATATTCTATGATAATAAATCTATCATAGACATAACATAGTCGACATAGACTCATTCTATCTTATAATCTATAATAATAATAATAATTTAGACTTCGATCTAGAAACACTAGATTCTACTAGAATTTCTAGATTAGGCCCTATAGCCTATTAAGTCTATTATTAGTATTATCCTGTAGTAGGGTCTAGATCTAGAACGTAGATTGACTAGATTCTAGATCTACTAATCTAGATCTAGGTCTATCAGTATCTTGACTTGTAATCTACGATTTTTTTATTGAAATCTAGACTTAGACTCTATTATAATTATGATTTAGATCTAGCAGCAATCTAGCTACCTACCTTTTAAAAAGCCATCGGTTATTTCCAACTTTCTGACATCACAGCTGTTTCTGTGATTGTCAGGGTCGTTCACCCGATTGTCCAGATTTTAATGTTATTAATGAGCCAAATTTATTAACACAGATGTAGGACCATTATTAAAATAGAAATAATATTAGGTCTATTAGTAATATTAATAAAGAATTTAGATGAAATTGGTGGGTTCTTTTTTTATTTTTAGTGCATCAACATTGAAAAGTTGTAATTCGATCTAGCCTAAATTCACAGCGTTTAATTTCTGTTTGCTTGTTTGTTTATCATTGCGACCAAATCGCTGAGTCACCTTCACAAGCTATGATGTTTGTGTCCGATTTGCTGTGGTAGCATTTTTTGTATTCAACGTCCAGTTAGTTCAACATTTTCGTATACTCAAATGATAGTCAAATGGCATAAACTAGATCTACTTGTACCGAAATAAGCTAAAAATAAATTTTGTTGTATAGATCACCTCTCTACATGTATTTTGAAAAAAAAAAAAGATGTATGGCCGCATTCACACTTTGCTTTGCTTTGAGAAAAAAAAAAGGGAGGGGGAGGAGTAACTATGAGACGGACACTTAGGCCTATATATATAGGTAAGGCCTGCCACTAGAAAAAAAAAAAAAAAAACATACTATATCCTACTAGCAGTAAACACCGGCTACCCCCTTTGATTTTGTTTCCAGGCTTTATAATAATGTTTATTATGGCCGATCACTTCTTTTTTTTTTCCTTTTCTATTTTTTTTCCTTTCTTTGCTTTCTTTTTCTTTTTAATCCCGTGAATTAGTTTGTCTGTTACAATAAAATTTCACGTCCCGCACTCTTCCCTTTTCTCTCTTCTTCTCTCTCTCTCTCTCTCGTTCGCTCTCTGGAACGCCCATTTTGTTCTTTTAACCTGCGCATCGTAATTTCTCTTACATAGACTTTTGACTTGATTTTGGTATGACCCGATTCATAATGCGACCCCAATGAACACTGTTACACACCCCCACTAACAACAAAAACTTATAATAGTCCTTCGTACAATGAATTTTCTTCGGCTTCTCAATTCAAAATATATTATATTTCAACACTAACCCCCCCCCCCCCACCCACACACACAGTGACACACACACAGACAACCGCTTATTAGGCTATACACTTTTCGGCCAATTTTTATCACAATGACAACTTTTAACTTTTTAATCTCCCTCTAATCAGGTCCCTTTAAATAGGGGTTCTCAACCTCTGATCGCGACCTTTTTTTGTTTTTTGTTAGTTTTTTTTTTCTTCTGGCTTCAATGACTCTTCATTGTCTGACAATACGTTCCAACATTTTTGGACCAGTCGATATCTGCGCTTCCCATTCGTTCGCGATATTGCGCATCGAGCCTTCACAAAGAGTCCGTCTATGTATCATCTATGTTCTCAAAATCAGTTTCAAGTTTCTTCAGAAGTGCATCAGATAGCATACATTCCTAAAGATTTGCCAGTCTGCCTTCGCGTACACCCACTTAACGCTTAAGAAAGACACCTCGCTTGGTCTTTCCGAGATCAATAGCAACCTAGGGTTTTTAATTTTGGGATATTTAGGGCGCCTGAGTCCACCCAGCTCTAATGACATTAGTTGGAGAAACGTAAAGGCGGCTGGTCGTTGTGCTGGCCACATGACACCCTCGTTAACTGTGGGCAACAGAAACAGGTGAGCTTTACATCATAGATCGTAAGATCTGAAAGGGAAACTACTTTTTTTTTTTACAGCTGCGGCAAGTGACCCCACGTCCTCAAGTACGTCTACCCGACTTTTTGCAACTACATCAGCGGATACCAAACACACCCATGACTGGCATTAATAAACGTTGATGGCGAGTCTGCGTCATTTAGGAGAACCAGACTTGTTCCGTCACATATGTCGAGCAGTTTACGACCCGAAGGATCGGTTGTGGAACAACCTAACAGCAGTCCTGGTACTGAGGAGGCAATTGATATTAAGTGAAAATACACTTTTGCAACTTCCTTGTGGATTATAGACATTTAGGCATTCAAATCGCTGTCCATCTTTATATATTTCAAGCAATAGCGTGTCAGTCTCTTCGCATTCTTGTGATGTGGATTTCTTTACACGAGCAAGTAAAGAATTCCTTACAAATGTACCGAGAGCAAGGGAACACTGTTATATGATTCCTCCCAGTGTTGCCAGCTTCCTCCACCAAGACTCCATCGATCTCGTACTTAGACTCAAGATTCTACGTTTAAGGCCTCTTTAAGCGTAGTTTCCCGTTGACGTTAAATTTAATGATTCTGAGTTGCCCTGTACCAAAAACATGTTTGGGCTTAGAGGAACCTCCCTCATTGACTCTATGACTATCTGGTTCGCGGGTCAAGACCTTCCTGTCCATACGCATTCATAAATTCTATTAGGTCGTCTGGGCTAGGCTCTCCCCGAGGGGCGTTGACCGCCTAACAATAGCTCCTTAATTAGTTCTTAAGGTCACTGTCGGTAAGCCTAGTGGACGTTCCTCTTGAAGATCGCCAACGGTAGCCCGAAAACGAGGCCTAATCAATTCCATTGTTACAGTTACCTATTCATGTGTGCCTAGAATCTCGTTTGTTAAACTGTTTGAGATCTACACAGTGTGTTATGTTCCCACATCCAAACGATCTCCAATGTAAGTTAACTGTGTTTCATAAACTAGAACAAGTGAAATCACTTGAAAAATGTTTACACAGGAAGGCAAGTATGTATTGCAAGGCTATTTAAACAATAGACAATACTTTTCAATATATTAGCATAAAATAAAGAAATTTAAAGTAATGTTTTTTTCTAGGAAAAAAATCCTTTAAACTGTAAGATAAACAAGACAAATAACAAAAATATATAATAAATGTAAATAAATGTGTACAAACAGAAAACAAGAGTTTAAACATTATTTATTAAAACACAGCACAAACATACATGCTTAAACAAATATTATTGTTTTTTAAATTAAAACTTTGGCTTGGTTTTCTGAATTAGTACATTGTATTTTGTTATGAATTGTAAAAAATAAATAAACAACATAACTTAAATCAAATCTAAATAATGGTTAACTAACAGATCTGATAGCAATCATTTTAAAAATAAGCATCACAAAATATACCTCTGGGTCCAGTATTTATAACAGAAATAAAAGAGACAAAAAAAAAAAAAGCAAGCACTAAAGACAAATCCGAAAAAAATAATTTTATTTTGATTAAAATGTTCTAGCTTCAGCATGAAAAAAAAAAAGTCCATTATAAGTTAGGTAATCTAATTGTTTCCTTTCTTTGATAATCCCATAAATTTCCTAGCACTGCTAAATCATTAGTAATAGTTTAAGAAAGCAGGAGTTAGTGTCATACAAGTTAATACTGATTATATCATTTGTATTAGCACATCTATTTCACTAAATAATGCTTAAATAATTTGTACAAGTATAATCTTTAAAACAAAATCTGTTCCTAAGTTGTTGAGTCTGAAAATAGTGGAATAATAACAGATTTAGTCATCATTAAAGAAACAAAGCATGAATTAAATGTTGTTTCTTTTTTTGTGTGCTTGCAAACTAATAGAAGGCAAATAGGATATGGAAGATCAGATGCTATTCAGTAAACACTTCATTGATAAACACTCAACACTGAAATGATCATGCATTAGAACTCCACATAGACTGTCACCATTTTCTATATCTCTACTATATACACAAAAGTCTATCAAAATGTTAATTACAATTTCAGTTATTTGAGAACAAAAATGTATCTGAGATGATTGCAAATGTTAATTTCACAGTCAATAGTAACTGTGATAGTAAAATACTCTTGCCATAAATATCACTCAAACAGCAATCAAATGCTGGTGGACCAAAATAAAAAAAAAACAAGTGTGACATTTTATAAACCAAACATTAATTAGCCATTGCCAGATAGGAACAAAGATTATTGACTGACTGACAAATACACATTGCATGTGTGTGTGGTACTATGTACATTAGTTAGCCATTGCCAGATAGGAACAAAGATGACTGACTGACAAATACACATGCATGTGTGTGTGGTACTATGTACATGTAAAAAGTTAATAAGTTATTCATGAAAATTGTATCACAAAAATTAATATTCATAATTTTTAATAGTATCAATTATTGTTAATCCAGATGCCAGGAGCCACCGGTAATTCTTTTTCTCTTTTTTAAAAAAGCTACATTTTCACTTGTGTTGGCACCATACAAGTTATGCAAATTATAGTCTAACAGGGCAATTTATAATGAACAGTAAGTCAAAAACTTATTCAAGAAGCAATATTACCTTTTACTTTTACCCACAGCTTTTTAATTTTACAGATTGGTCTACAAAAAACACACCTAAAGATTAGTAATGAATGTGCATTTCTCATTGTAGACCATTATTCTGTAATGAAAGCATCAATAATGAAGAACTAGCTTGACTTAGACATAGTATTTTGGATTGTTGAATGGTCTAGGTCCTATTGGAGGTTTAGGCTAGGATGTAATAATGCTCAATTCTGAAGTGAAAGCACTTGAAAAATGTTTACACAGGAAGGCAAGTATGTATTGCAAGGACCTAAATCAGGTCCTGAGAAATACAATTTTTTAAAATTCTGTATTTTCAACAGAAAATGAGCCCTAACAAACTGTTAAAACATCAGTTTTGATAATGGTTTATCACTACATTTTGAAATTGCTAGCCATGTCAATCTTTTTTTTTCTATTTTATAACCCAGTTTTGCAATCTGTCTACATGGCGCTATGCTATATAGGACTATCGCTGGCGCTATGCTCTATTTAGTCTATAGGACTATCTTAGGTCATTTGATCTTAAAACATGTCCATACTATCTAAGCTTTCTTGTTCTGACATGCTTATCTAATTGTATACGGATTTTATTGTGTTTATAATTCTTTGGAAATCATTTTGTTGTATGTTTAGTATATGTAATGTATGATATGTCTTTGAATATCTTAAGTTATTGTCCATACTATACAGAAAAAATGACATGACCAACCACCACATTAAAGTTTAAAAAAAAAATAATCTAAATTTTAAAATGAATGTTATAAATTAATATGGCAGCATGCTTAAATCATTAGCAATACAAAAAGGTTACACTCCATTACATACAGTAGCCAAACAAAAAAAAAAAAAAAAAAAAATTAAATAATTGTTCATAAATATATTTTAAAAAAATTCATACCCTGTTTAACACTGATTAAACAATTTAAAAAACAGGACTGGCATGACTTTGGTTGAGTTAAATGAGTATTACTAGAAACTTTGAACAATTCAGGCAAAAATGCCATAGAAATGCTTGAGTAAAAGGCTGGGTACAACACAATGAGAAATAGAAGTCAACAACTTTCAAGCAATTGCAATTTTTCTCATATTTTTAAAATAAGAATTCCTAAAAAAAAAATTGATTTTACAAGACCTGTGAACACAAAAGTATTTTTATTTTTTTAATGCCTCATTATAGTAACAGTAAACAATGAATGGGTATATGTTTATCATAAATTATAATAGCTGAACAGAGCAGCTGACTTCTTTTCCTAGACAGGGTTAACTATAATTTGCTTTGAATCAGAACCACAATACAACAGCCTAATATGATCCTAATTTGAGGCTAGTCGTATGTAAAACATTTTACAATTATGAAGATAACACTTTGCTTAGGTCAATCTGAACTCTTTTTTTTTCTTCAAAACAATAAAATGAATAAAATATTACTAGGACATTAAGCTAAACAACAATTTTCATTAAAAAAAAAAAAAAAAAAGACTGAAAAATATATTACAATTACATTTTTTAAGAAACTGTATTCATTAAATATTTTTGTTCAGTGGAAAAAAAAAGTATGTGTTATAAAATAAAAAAATAATAAAACTTCACATCACATTCATAAATTAAAGATAGATCTTTGCAAAAGAAAGCAACAAACTACAATGTATATAGATTTATGAATATCATAAAACTGGGAAATAAGGGGCCATAAATACTATTATAAAATAATTATTTATATAGATGAATAAATACAATTGAGAGGGTAATTATTTATCTTAATAAATGACTAGTAAAACTCAAGGGTCACTAGAGTATTACAAATAAAATTCAGATCTTTGTAAAAGAAAATAACAATAGAAATAAAAAAAAACAAGCTTAGCTAAAGCAAAACTAACAAATTGAGTATTTCATTATCAATAACATTCATTGGGAAACATTCCCAATTGAACCAGCAATATACTGGAAGTAAAATATATATTGCTAAGTGTGTCAATCTTTGTGTGTGGGGCGGGAAGGGAGGCCAAAAAAAAAAAGTGAACAATCTTTTATATTCAAGTGACCTGCACCTGTAATTATCCTCTTTAGTGTTTGTGATTATTTTATTTATAATGTTGATTGTTGAAATAATGGCAAAAATATAACCCCATATTACATTATAATTATCTTCCTAACTCATAAACAAATTAAATCTCGATATTAATTCTGCTTTTTTTAAAAATAGAACACATCTCCCTATTATAGTCAAATTTTCTTTACACTTATTAATATAATTTTGTGTAAAAAAATAAGTTTGTAAAAAAAAATTTGCCATTAAAATAGTAATTCGCTGCATCTTTTCAGCTGTTGAAACAACAATTAAAAATGTGTATTAGATAATGTGGAACAGGAATGTATTTCTCTACTATAAATAGTCCTAAAGTGTTACAGACATTAAAAAAACAAAAAACAACTACATTCCAGTCATAATCTAATTCACTGTAGTCATATTTTCTAAAGACCAGAAATAAATAAGCACAATGACATCTACATATATTAAACAGACCGAGTTTCATGTTCAGTTTCTGCAGATGCCAATAATGTAAAATTAGCTTGGATCTATGTGAAGACAACTTTTTAGCAAATGGCCATGATCCATATGCTTTAGAATTTCCACAGCCTCTTTGTGAGACTAAGAAAAAGGAAAAAAAAAGTTTTAACTATTTATCATTCTTTTACTAAAATGTACAAATGTGTCAAGAACAATATTTACCTCTTCGTCATCTGGGGTTCGAACTTTAAATTCAGTAGCCTTTTGTAAGAACACGATAGCCTTTTCTTTATCGTGAAGTTTCAAGTGTGTTTTGCCTATCATCAGCAGATTTGTGCACATAAAATTTTCTTGAACTAAAGTTTAAAAAAAATATTTCTATTTATTTGTAAGTTACAGAAAGGAAATAGACATATTTTGCACAAAAAAAATCTGTTTCAAATTTCAATAACATTGCATAATATATAGCAGGATTTATAGTGGTACTGTACAGTACATATTGATTCTTGTAAAAATTACATAAGTTTTAAAGTTTAAAAATTTAGAACTGTATACAACTAGGTTTATAAGGGGTTGTTCATAAGGTCTAAAATCTATAACACTGAAGAAAAAAAGAACAACATTATTTCACACATTTTTATTTACAGTGGAGAGTCAGAGTTAGAAGCATAGCCTTTGGAGTAGAATGAGGAAATATTATATTTAGAACCCAACAAACACCACACAATTTAAAAATCTTTCATACAGATGATACCCAATCATTAACAAAAGAGAGTTATAGTTAAAAGTTCCTGATTGATCCAGGATAGAATTTGATAACTTTTTTTATTTTAATCTACAAATAGTTTTTGTAAAATTGCTTTTAATTTCTATAAATGAAGATGCTCAATAAAATTCATTCTCTTTATCATAAAATGCCTCCAACAGTGGCATAGCTAGGGTGGGTGGGGATTTGAAAATTCACCCGGATTTGAATGATTTTTACATTAAAAATTAAATACTACTCAAAATGCAGGGGCCCCCAAAGAGGGAAAAAAGGGGGAAAATGTATAATCAAAAAACATTAATACATGTAGATCTAAAAAAACAACAACAGGAAACAACAAACTTACTTTTCTCTGCTTTCATGAACCATTCTAAAGCCTAAAATTGAATGAAAAAAAAATGTGTGTATAATAGAATGCACACAAAGTCAAGTCTTATTCATGATAATTTCCTACAAAAAATTGATACTCAACTTTTACAAAAAAAGAATACATATTGTCAATTGCTAGGATATAAGCAATCATATTTCACATAGATGAAATGAAAAATAAAGTCAACATGTATTGCTACAAATGTGCTATATGGATTCAAAAATGAGGTCAATCAGAACATTAAAAATAACACAAAAAAAAAACAATATAAAAAGGTTGTAAAAAAGAAAGGCTCAGTTCTAAATAGAAGCAGTAGTGAACCTAAAAGAGAATGAGTGGGGCAGCCACCGGGGTGCAGAAACATGAGCTCCAAAGGGGTATCAAAATACTACATAAAATATCACATATTTCTGTTCCTAGCTTTATTTCATTTACATTATGAGCAAGTTTCATAGTTCTTACTGGTGACTTTTTTTTCTACAAATATGAATTATATACACAATTGGGAAATAAGAAGGAGGAGCGGTGCAGACAGGCATTGACACCACTGAATAGAAGGTGAATTTCATAAAAAAATGAGCATTTCAATAAATAAAGTTCTTGTTTCTATGTTTCCTCTATGTCTAAGTTAAGTGTTAAACACAACAATTTAACAATGTATGTTATTTATACCTACTTCATCATAGGTTGTTTCTGGAAGAGCTGCAAAAAATGTTGCAGCTATTTTTCTCTGGTACCAAGGTCGCTCTGCTAATGCAAAACACCAATATCCAATAGAGTGAAGAGAAATGACATCGTCTGGGTCAATTTCAAGGGCTTTCTGTACAGAAGGATAAATGTAAATCTTTCACAGAAGACACAATCCTTAACCATAAGGTAACAGTACTATAAACAAAATTGAGCTACACAAGTATATTTAGACTAATTATGAAATATTTAGTCATGTTGCTAGTTCTTTTTAGAAATACATTATTT